TAGAAATTGATTGCTTTCTTCCTTTCTTTGGAAGATTCCCATATTTTTCCCAAGATGGAGTAGTAGAACGCCAAAAACTTTTTTTCCCAAAAATTAATCACTCCTAAAAATATAACCCCTTCAATTCAAATAATTGAATATGTTTTTCAATTGGAGATAATTCTGCGACAAATACGCAGTCGTCAAGTCTGATATTTCCTAATGCACGCTTTATAGGATTGAGTGTCTATTCAGTTCTTCTAGACTGACAGTTACATTCTTCTCAATTTGATATTACTCGAAAGTGTGATATTTTGAATTCCATTGAGCAATTGCAATGAGTTCTTCAAACTACATGGAAGATACTGTGATTTTAAATAGTTGTAATCATTTTTTCACTAATATTTCACCAATAGGTGCTGCAACAAAAAAACACCGGCCTGAAGGGTTATTTTTATTGATATAACTTGAATGATGAATGGAGTTCAGCTGGGTGTGGGATCATCACTATCAATCTAGGCTTTTTTTTCAGCCCTGATATAATGATCTTCTAATGAAATTTTCCTAGCGTTGTCAACCTATTCTATCTTACATTTCCGAATAACCTACATAGAAAGTCCATAAAGAATAATTTTGGGGCAACTGCTGAATAACGCACTCGGTACAAATTGCTAGATAATCCTTCATTGTTCAATTTCAATTCAATTATTCGTCTTCAAGAACACAACAACAACACCGAAAAACTAATCACACAAATTTGTTCGTAATTATCAACATGAATTATGTCGATTACATTGGAAAAAATGATGTTTAACTAGTACCTATACAGATTGTCCTGTATGTGCCCCTTACTGAGAGGTGGATCAGAGCTCCAACAAGAAGTGATATGTTACAACTACCTACAAGCAAAACGCCACCACAATATTCCCAGAGAGACATACAATTGATGCAGCCAGTAACAGAAACATGCCTTTTTAAAAGCGACATCTTGCTTGTTCATTTATTACCAGTTGTAACGTGACTGAAAACAAATGCATGTCGACGCCTCAACGAGACTTTCAACAAAATTGTTTTCTCCATTCGACGGATAAATAAAATGAATTATGTAATTTTCTAAACATATCTGTTTTTTAAAGATGATATATTAGAGAGATTATATTCTATCTTGTTTTTTTAAATTGTTCATTAACTAATGCGTTCAGCCAACAGAGATTAATTTATACGAACATGTTATTTCAATTTATTTAATGGTCTTGTGAAATGGAGCGTGTGATGATAGGCTTGTTTGGAGCTAGAAAAAGATAAATTTTATTGGGTATTTGAATTGTACTCCTTGTATATTCTATTCTCCTCAGACCTCATTTTCTACGTGAAACAATTAAAATGTTTTCAATTATCTTTTTCAAGTGAGCACAAACATATTCGCAAAAGTTATGAAAAATTTGCGAATTCCTCAGAAATCTCTTTCATCACTTCATTATTTATTATGAAAAATGTTATCGAATAAACGGAAAAGTAGTAATATTGAATATTGATTAGAAGAAAGAGAGTTTTATCTAAACAGTAAAGGAAAAATATTTGGTCCAGAAAGGATTTTTGCTAATTTCCATATATTTATTGATCTTTTTCCAGTATTCTGGTTTCCATGCAAATTAGATTATT